GACGAGCACGTAACGTGGGTTAACATGTCCAGTTATGTAAGATTTGAGGTTCTCACAACAGTGGTTATGAAGAGTTCTATCTTCTGGGATATAACGCCATGTAGTCTGTCGAAAGTCAAGCAATGTTTCGGTGGAACATGCCACGTCCATCTTCAGGGTCGTAGAATAAGTCGAGCAAGAAACCAGCATGAAAGCAGAGGATAGAATCTTTCATGTTCATCGACATGAGGGGGCGAAGAGGCTAGACGTAACGCCGTGTAGCCTCGTGGATATTTACCAACTTCTATCTTCATGGTAGAAGAGTAAGTACCATAGGAAAACTCCGATCTTCAGGTTAGGAATATTCCCGAAGATGTAGCCATCAGGTTTCTCAGGACAGTTGGCAACGATCTACCAGGCTAAACGGTGTCATATATCAGAAAATACTACCATATTCAGAGTCACAGCCACGAGAGTCTTGATACCACGTCGCCATTATCATTATGACCGTCGTACCAAGCAATTCCCATTTCCTTTCTCACTGAAGGAACGAAAAGTAAAATGAGCTACAGCAGGGCACAACTAATATTTTCATAATGCGCTCCCTGAGCTTAATATCTACCAGACTACACGGCCTCACATCAAGGTTTTCACCACCCTGCCTTACATCACTAGCCATCTTTCCACATCTCTTAACCCTCTACTGCGAAGAAGGAAACAACAAGAGTCTCCGAAACGTTGGTACTCATATACTTAAATAACACGGTCATCCCAGAAGACCACAGGTATAATACTGATTTCAGAACACCCCCTTCATATACCGTATCCCGCCCCATCCAATATAACACCCATTTTAATATTAATTTGAAAGACTAACTAGTCCTATATTGTATAAGTATATAACAGTAAATAGGTCACACATGAAGGTAAAACAGCTGTAATGGACGTAATAGGTATATTATACATATCACTAGGTAGCAGCACAGTCCAGCTTCATGACAGTCTAGGTGGCAGACGCGCATGCGCAGGTTCAGAGGCTGGTTTTAGTAGTAAGAATGACAACCGTGCTTAAGGTGTATGCCACCGAAGAGCAGCGTTCTGTTGTGCGTATTTATTTTTGGAAAAAGGACTCAATGCAAAGGATACTGATGAAATATTTCCTGCTTATGGTGGGAAGCGTTTGACGCGTAAAGCGGCTCTCGCCTGGCTGGCAAATATTTCGCTGATGACGAAGAGGTTTCAAACGGAGGTGCGGAAGTGACTGGGACAACAGTCAAAAGACTTCTATGCTGCATTGATAAAGCGATGGGACAAGTGTATCAATGTTCGTAGGGGATATGTCGAGAAATAAATTTTTTTTCTCAGGTCCGATAATCATATATTTTATGTTTTATATCGGTTTGTAACCTATTTACTGACTCCCTCGTATAAGTAAGGTAACGGTAAAGTTCTCCCTGTGCGTTATTAAGCACCACGCCATGACCTTGGGAGAAGTTGACGTCCACTCGGTCTTAACCTCTGCCCTACACAGAAGTGAATGGATAGCTTTCAGACCAAGGGAAAGAATCCTCAGTACATGACCAAGAAGCTGGTTGGCGTCAGAGCCGGTCTGGATGCGCTGGAGGAGAGGGGTAACTCTGCCCCTGTCGGGTATCGAACCGCAGTCGTCCAGTCAGTGGAAAGTCACTATACTAACCGAAATACTCGGACTTCACATATGTCTATGTATCCACTTTATCTTTCTGCACCCCGAAACGTCGCTTCTGTTAGAGTCTAGAGAACTTTGCCTTAGAGCCGGAATAGCTCCGCCGGTATAGCGACTGGCTACGGGCTGGACGACCGAGGGGTCGGAGTTCGAGTCCCGGTAAGCTCAAGAATTTTTTCTCCTTCAAGTCGTGCAGGCCGGCTCTTGCGTCTATCCAACCTCCTGTCAAAAGGGTACCGAGGGCTCTTTCCCCGGAGGTAAAGCGGCCGGGGCGTGACGCTTAACACTCACCTCCAACTACTGTAGAGGTCAATAAAATGTAGATCTATACATCCACTCTCCCATTCGCCTTCATAGCGTAGTGCTTAATTAGTTAAGCAGAGGAACAACTTTACCTTTTACCTAAATGCTTTGGAGGCACGCGGGAGCGTATTTGGTTGAGGCACTATGCTTCAAGTCGGATGGTGGGAGGTTTGATTCATGATATCATTGGATTTTACAATTGTCTTAATCCTTCCAGCAGCCCTATGGCCCTGGTGTCAACTCAGCCTCTAACACAAATGAGTATCAGGAACATTCCTGCGGGTAAAAAGCGGCCGGCCGGTGCGGAAGGCTGGCAAACTCACCGCCGTCTGTGAGCCGATTTTCTAGAAAATGTGGGAACCTCGACGTCTCACAACCGTATGGGACTCCACGGCCTGTTCCTTTACCTAAATGCCTTAAGGGTACTTCGAACATCACTAAAGCAGAACAAGGATATTATCAGGTTAGAAAGGTAAGTACAGGTACAGCTTTACACATAATTTTGGACTTGTCTCCTTGATAACAAATGACGCTGATTTGATTTTATGCACCTCCTGTATAGAAATCAGAGACTGTTTCGTGTCCGTACATATCGATTTGGCAACAGAGCCTTGTCGACTCAAATATTCGGCGTATTGCCTGCCCATTTATGCGAATTTAAATTACACGCAATTATTTTCTGTTTTCTTGGGGTGAAGCACTTTAAAGCCGTTAACAGTGGCCTCGCGGTCTAAGGCTTGAACTGCCTGCGCTTGCTCGAACGCTGGGCTCATGGGTTCGAATCCCAGTCAAGGCATGGATGTCTATGTGTGCTTTTACTCTTTATGTGTTTGTCCTGTGTGCAGGTAACGACCTTATGACAGGCTGGTCCCCCGTCCAGGGAGTCCTATCGTCTGTGTAAAACAGATTACTAAACTGAAGAAGACGCCAGGGCCCAACAAAGGGCTGTAGAGCTATTCATTGATGAATGAATGAAGCATTTTAGAACTTGGCTTCTTCAGCATTGAAGGGGGCACACCTATTCTTCTCATTCACGAGCGCCTCTTATTATTCACTCGTAATAGCATGCGTTTTCCGTTGTCTTCAAAGGGACCTTTACCCCTTCAAGAGGACGTCCTTCTTCGAGGCTGTGCCTCTTTCTTAAATATTCCTTTCTCCTTTCTCTAGGTCTTCTTCTGCTTCAAGAATACATTTTCTTCCTTCAGATGAAATTTCTTTCACTTCAAGAGGTCTTTCAATTTTATACAGCTAGATGAATGCAGACGTTTCGGGTGGAGCATTTTCTACTCCATCTTCAGGACTGGTGGTTGCGTTTTGTATTTTATCAGTAGCTGTTCATAGTTTTTAACCTACTTTCCTCATTTTTAAAAACTAAAAGTGGGCTTATGCGATCTCAATGCTGTCCGTGTATTTGTGAATCCCCCCCCCATCAACTTTTGAATGCCTGAAGCAGTTTTTATGAACCTTGGTATGTATATCAGGACACCTGAGCCAATCTCAACGGCGTACTTCATAAACCCCTCCCATCGGCCTGTGTGTCTATATGTATCCTCATATCGTTACTAGGCAACGGCTCGGTAAACATGTTCCCAAAACAAAGAATACATGCTACAATAGATGAATTGTTGGACGCGTCTGTATGTGTATTCCCTCATCCTTGATAGGTAAGAACTCGGTAAAGACGTTGCCGCGGCAACGAAGAATTCTTGGAGCAGTAGTTTTCTATGCGATCCGTATCGTATCAGAGCAAATTAGGCGATTAGTTCTTCCCAGAACTTCTTGTTTATTCGGCACTCTAAGCTCGACATCTCCATTACATCATGAAGTAATTCGTACATATAAAATTCGAGAAATACTTACTAACATTCGGTTCACTAATTTTCATTTCTTGCCTACTGCCTATAATCCTGAATCAGGCCAGCATAAATGACGTGGGCCAGATCATCTTGGCACCCAAAATGTCGTCGTTCATTCTACTGGTCACGGAACTACTGAGGGGAGTCCGCAACGTCGTCAGTACATAGGGTACATAGCGTCTTCTGGTAAGTGGACACGAATTGGAAAGGATTTGAAGGAAGCGGGTGTTGTCTACTTGCGGTACAGTAAACCCTCGTTAATCCGGATCAAGCGATAATTCGGATTAATGAAGAAAAAGGTAGCCCTAAAGACCAAAAAAAAAACTTAGAAGACGAATGCATGGAAGATTTAGTAATATAAATAGTCCTGCTGGAAATGAATAACCAAATATCACTGCAGAGCTTTTTTTAAAAATAAAAATACAGTACATTTATTTATCGATAGAAGACTGAGAAGATGTACTTGTTTTTCAACGTAATAATGCAGGTTTGAAGAAACTGTCTCAGGTGTGAAGAGACAAGTGACTCATCTGCCTTCCTGAATGCCATGTGTCTTATTAAGTATTTACTCAACTGTGAACAGCATATTTTCATATTTAGATCCGGATTAACTCGCATTAGGATTAACTGTAAACGGATTAGCGAGGATTTACTGTACTACACCGGCATTTGATTGGAGCGACTGAGGAAAATGAAGAACAACATTCACGACAGCCGATTTGTAGACGGAAATTCGAAACCAGCCCCTTTCGATCACGTGTCTATATCGTTAACTATGCAGCAATCCGTTCTGCTTATTTCATTACATTTAAACAGTAGATCTCCCTGCACCTATTTTTGTTTCTTAATGCGAGAGCTGCAGCGAGTAATGGTTTGGGGTACCTCCTAGGCCTACCCATCTGGCAACCCATTACATACCCTGTGGGACCGCTTACTCATCTACCGTTATATGCGTCTGGTAGGTAAACCCCACTCAGGTACTCACTTGCTGCGCAGTTAGAATAGAGTTTCAGTTGTGCTTCTCTGCGTACGCTTACAAGGAATGTCGGGGTAAGTGATACTAACCCTTCAAGGCCAAGTGGTTACTATATATATCATATGCCTTAACATACTAAACTGGGCATTTTTCCCACACAGTGTTTCTGTGTCTTCCGTATGGTTCTCACAATAAGCAGTGACTGTTTCCCTAAACAGCATTAGCCATTTGGCTTTGTAGTGGTGACATAATTGTTTCCTGTGAGGTACGAAATGAGCTTATATATATTAGTTTTAAGAAAGTTACTCTTCAATCTCCGTGAGATGGTGGGTTCGAATACCTCCACCGTAGCCCTACGAGTAGTAGGAGGCGACGAAAAGGGAACCTGGTGCCTGGGGGTGTAACTGGGCCATCCTGTTCCTGGGGGATATAAATACGGGGACCTGGACCTCCAGGTTGGAGGAGTCTAGAATCTGAGACACTAAACATGGTGATGGGTCCTGCAGGAATAGGACCCAAGAATGACTGCGCTGGCGAAGGCCAGCAGTAATTGTAAATGACAGACCCGTCCTCTCGTCAGATAGGGCGGCCAACGTCAACAAAACCCTGGTCTTAGGTCCCAGAAGTGGGGCTTGACATCAACACATACTGGCAGACTGACCGTCGGTCGTAATCTAACTTTGTGAATCAAAGTTTTTAAAGGGTTAATATTATGATTCATCAGTCACTGTGCATTTTAAGTGCGTCTGTCATGTGCTCTTTCCTATGTGCGCGCAAATTAGGCGCATAGTTACACATCTACATCTGTCCAAGGGCACAAACTTTACCTAAAATACCCGAAATAATTTATATGCAATTGGAATTTCTATTTATTTGTGAATTGAGGTTATCATGACTGTGCAGATATAGATAGTGGTCTTCTAGTTCATGACACCGTGCAGTCTGTAGGTAAGGTAAGGTAAAGCTGTCCCTATGATTATTAAGAACTACGCCATGAAGGCATATGGGGGAGTGAATATATAGATCCATGTATTCTTGGCCTCGGCAGTAGCTGGAGTTGAGTGGTCAACTTTACCGCCAAGGCTCCTCTGTAAGGAGTATGTCCTCCGAGATTTTGCTAACCATCTACCAGAGTGTACGGTGTCATAACCCAAAACACCTGCTTCATAAACTTGGGTTTTTAGAAATAAGCCCAAAACATAAGAGACCAAAACTGGAGGTCAACACAACGTACAGATATCATTGTAATTAGAACGTATTTCTATATGATGTATGCATAAAAAATTATGTTATTAAGTTGGGCATGCAAAGCGTAAAAATTGCAGACGCATGCAGAGATTCAGTTACAAAGACGGCGAATAAATCCAAAATCGCCTGAAGTCAAAATTTCCTTTGAAAGCCCCTTAAATCNATGTTTGTACACGACCGCCTTTGTGGCCTAGTTGTCAGAGACCCTGGCTACAGATCCAGAGGTCCCAGGTTCGATTCCCGATGCTACCAGATTTCCTGAGAAGTAGTAAGTCAGGAACGGGGTCCACTCAGCCTAATGAGGATAACTGAGGAGTTATTTCAAGGAAATAGCGGCTCCGGTCTAGAAAACCGAGATTGACGGTCGTGGGGATTCGTTGCGCTGACCACGCCACACACTTCATCTGCTAAAGTTGGAACTAACTTCGACCATAAGCGGCGGTAGCTCGGTCGGTATAGTTAGGTTGCGGACTACAGGCCACGGAGTTTTTTTATGTTTGTACATAACGTAATTATGAACACTCGCCACTCCTTAGTGGCGAGCGTATGTAGTTAGAATTGGCGTGAGTTAATTGTGTGTATCATGAGACTGTACTTACATATACATGGTAGAGTCATTAAGTTCGTTGAGTTATCGCATCATATTACAAGGTATTCACGTACACTTACCCAGATCCACATCGGCCCTCAAAATAGTTGCCATTGGCCTCTATGCAGGTCTGCCAACGTTAATATAGCTGTCGAAAACATTGCTGAAATATATTGGCAGTAAATTCCTGTACGATGCCTTGCGGCCATTCCATGAACTTACTGACTGTGGCAGTATAGTACAAACTGTCCATAGTTGATTGCCTGTCCTTAACATAGGGCCCTCTTGAAACTACTATAAACGAATATGAAGACATAGAAGCGTGTAAAACCGAAAAGAACCCATTTGAAAAATTGTTTACACCAAGTTGAAGTAATAATAATACTGCTTGTCCGTGTATGTATAATGCTTTTGTGACTGTGCTTTTTAATTAATTTAAATTTTTTTAATTCGCTTAGGGGGGGGTGGAGTCCAACTGGGTCCACTCGGCACGGCGGCCACTGATTGGCCTATTGTAGCCTGCCCCGGGTGATTATGATGATGGAGAATTTGGTGGAATGAAGATTGGCAGAGGAGACTGAAGTGGTCGGAGAAAACCCGCCCCAGCACCACTTTGTCCACCACAAATCCCACTTGACCAGACCCGGGATCGAACCCGGGCCGCCGCGGTGGGAAGCCAGCGATTAACCGCTTGAGCTATGGCGCGGCCATTTGTGACTGTGCGAGTTCACGTCCAAGTTGAACTGACACTGCATCTGCGCTCTTGCTGGTCCAAATTCTTATACCATTACATTTGTGTTTGTGTTCTGGGCCAGTTTCAAGTAATATTTCAGGCGTGCTTATAAGTGTTTAATTCGAAGTAACATTGCATTTATACTTATAAAATCCGCTTGAAATCATGGAAGATGGGTCTTGCTCAGTATTCCTGAGGATGCAGGAATACGGTTTCCAAAATTTCCCGCTGCTTTTCAAGATTATTTTCCTGTCTGTGAACACTGCATAATTGTACCTGCTTCACAGAACACTAGCTTAATGATTGAGAAACACCAAGTAAAAAGGACCCTTGTTTTGCTTACTCCTGACTCAAGGTCTGTGTTCTAAAAAAAAAAAAAAGTGGAATATAAATTATTGTCAAAATGAAATATTAAGAAAACCCTGAATGAAAGACTGATACAATGGGATGGAGAATTGAGGTGAAGTACTTATGGAAAACATTAACATATACTGTCATCTTAATAGGAAGCAACTTTACGGAGCATAAGTCATTATCTACTTAAGAAATTTCCTTCCTTTTGTGAAACCCGACATTTCATTACTGTGATATCGAGAATCTACTACTGTGCTCTAGACTGAGCCAGATGGTTCCAATCTATAGGCCCATGGCCTATTTCCTTAAGAATAATTAAATATATAAAAAAATACTTAAACTAAAAATAAATATCCATGAGAAGTAAGCAAAATGTACATGTATAGTTAACTAAATAAAAGCAAAATACACATATACAGCGCGTAGCCAGTCACTATATTGACTGAGCTTTTCCTTCGTAGGTTCTTCGACGTCAGATTAGTGATACAGATCGTGTTGTCACATTAACAAGTTTACCAGATCCTGTTTTCCAAGTAAGATGCGCGCAGATGTTTCTGTCGCAAGGTTGCCTTGCCCAGTGTAACATTTCGTAACAAAATTACTTTTTAAAGCGAGGAGTTGTTGGCCCCACGCCCAACCCAAAACCTTGAAAACCACCCCTTGTCGGCTGTCCGCGACTGCTTATTCAGTATATCTACAGCTACTTCACAACTTGTACTATTAGCAAAGAGTATAGTTATAATGTCAAGGAGTATGAGTTGGGCAGTGTATGTAGCATGCATAGAGATGAAGAGGAATGCGTACAGGATTTTCATGGGACATCCCAGACAGAAAGAGACCACTAGGAGGAGCTAGACGTAGGTGGGAGGATAACATTAAAACTGATCTTAGAGAAACAGGATGGGGTGGTGTGGGCTGGATTCATCTGGCTCGGGATAGGGAGCTGCGGTGGGCTCTTGTGAACACTGTAATGAACCTACGGGTCCCATAAAATCTTGGGAAATTCTTGAGCGACTGAGCGACTGGCGTCTTCTCGAAAAACCATTCAGTTACACGTGGTTAGTTCGTTAGTTAGGATTGCATTACCACTTCGTGATATAACCTCACAAATGATGAATACAAGGAACACTCTATATTTTTATCCGTTTTCGCTTTAAATTGTCGTGTAGTTATTTCGAGAAAATTGCGACGTTTTTTCTTATTCCTGACAGCCCCCCAGAAGAGTACAGCAGTGACGGTGCTATAACATTAGAATTGATAATTAGACCAGTAGTGTGTGGAGGTGAGTACTGAATTGAAACGGCATTTAATTTATCACTCAACACAACAATTCCGTAATAAACAAATTAGAACTACTGTATCAGCACGAATGATACATACAGAACCACAAGGAGCGAACAGTAATAGGAAAGGATGGGGTGCTATGGACAGGATTGATCTGGTTCAGAATAGGGACTAGTGGAGGGCTCTTGTGAAGAAGGTAATGAACGTTCGGGTTCCATAAATTTCTGGGAAGTTTTTGAGTAGCTGCAGAATTTACGGCTTCTCCAGATGGGCTCAGCTCCATGAAGTTAGTTTAGTTAGTTATTCATGTAATGATTGTCCAATGACGGCCGAGCAGGGTCAGCAATATAGTGGTATTGATTTGTTTGCTATAGAATTAGAACTACCATGTATAACTCACAAGTGTGCATACAATAAAGACTGAATTCAAATGACTCAGAAGTACGGTGACTGCTCGCTTTTCTGACTTAAGCAAATTGTGATCATCTGTCTACAGGACGAAGCAAGTGGAGACTGGGACGCCAACTAATTCTCCACCGAACGTATCTTCAGCACCCCAGATGCCAGAGAGATCGGTGTCTCCAGACAGGGTGCCCAACATCAAGATCTTCTGTGAGAACTTTCAGGAACTCCTCAGTAAGATGGTTTGTCCCAGCTGTGAAGAGATACTGACGTCACCCGTCCAGATCTGCGTGTCCGGCCACTCTTACTGTGGCAAATGCCTGCCTCTGTTAACCCTATGCTTGATCTGCTTCAAACCTCTGACCAAAACACAAAACCGAAACGTGATGAAGATACTGAGTTTGGCGTCATTCAACTGCCCGTGGAATCTGATCGGCTGCGTGGCCATGATGCCCCTGTCCGCTATTACAGAGCATTACAAATACTGCCATTTCATGCTGCTTACATGCCCAGCTAGTCGTGAAAAGGACACGTACTGCGCATGGCAGGGCATCAAGATGAATCTGCCTTCACATATCAAGACTCACGAACACCAACAGCTTTCAGTAGCACAACCTTTCCTCGTTGATTCGTGCCGTGTGTGGCCAGAGAAGATACTGCGTCTGTTCCTGCTTTACGAGGATGAGATATTCACGTATTACAGACTTGTGTTCGAAGATACATGGTACAGCATGGTGCACCAAGTGGGGCTAACGCGTCGGAAGTTCGAGAGCGCCTTCAAATTGGACGGCGCCAACGGCAAGGATCGCATTCGCATGACAGTACCTGTACCCGTGAGAGACGATGAGTCTGCGTGTTCACTGTTTTCTGGCAAATGTTTCAGAATCCCAGGCAATATGATCCAACATTTTATTAAGCATCAATATATAAATCTGACGATTTTCCTTAATGACGTAACGAAATCTACAAACCCCTAGAATTTTAGTTATTTTAGTGAGAAACTGCATATTTTATCATTGACGTAGGAAGGTATGTAAATTGATATTTAATTGTGCTTGTAATATCTGGATTCTGTTCACCCTCCTAGTTCTTTATAGGACAGTACTTAGATAAAACAAAAATCATGATCTGGAATTTTAGACCTTCAATGTGGTGACCCTTAAGATTCCGGTCTGCCGTAGAATCTGGTATAATTTTACCTGGGATTCGGAGGAACCAGCTTCCTACGGCTTCTACCACATTACATGGCATGTCTTCCCAGACGACAATAATCTTCGAGCCTTAACGTTTTGCAAATTGATTCTATATTCTTCTTCGGGCGGGTGGGATTTGAATAATTTATTATTCCTACAGGACCCTAGGTAGAACTGCTTTCATACCCTGATTTCGGAAAACATTAGAATAGGACAATTACTGACCTTTTGGACGTTAATCATTATACTATTTTATTTAAAAATTAGGTTTCGGAGACTGCACTCTGACTCCGAAACGTCGTTTTTAAATAAAAACAGAATGATGGATAATGTTCAAATGTCAATGAGTCTAACTTTATTAATATAACATTTTCGCAAACGCTGAAACCTTGTTAACAGAATAGGAACTCATTCATATCATTTGCATCTGAAAAAGGAAGGACTCTTTTTTCCGAAACGTCTTGGCCTTCGTCTAGCACAAAAATTTGTTATAAGACCAGAAGCCTTCACGAAGGCTTCTCGCAGTATCAGACGTGTCACTTTGTAAAAAATTATACCGACGTTTCGGCGACCATCTCTATCCCCATCGTCAGGGTCTCATGTCATAAGACCCTGATTACTCAAGTGATACGGGTGATAGCCCGAGAAGTTCTGATCGTCTTGAAACTTGAACTGCACCATAGTCAGATAATTCTGAACTTCAATTTTTAAATTGACCCTTTCACTATTATTGTTCACTCCTAGACTAGTGTTTCCATCTGTAATCACAATTTAGTACTAACGTGAAAATTAACAAAAATTTGCATGCGAACATCCAGACACAAAAGTGTCCCACAGATATGCGTCACGTTAACGGGACTAGTTTATGGGCTATACATTCATTGGAGTTCTCTCTTGTGGGATATAGTGGTGTGTAGTCCCAGATGACGTAACTCTTCAGAGTCACCGCTGTGAAGAACCTAGATCCTTTCAGCTGTTCCTAGCGGGATGCGAAGTGCGTGACGCAGAAGTTATTTGCGTATAAAAAGGTAAAGTTGTCCCTGTGCTTAACTAATTAAGCACTACGCCATGAATACATATGTGGGAGTGGATAGATCCACGTTTTCTTGACCTTGGCACTAGTTGGAAGTGAATGGTCAGCTTCACGCCCCGGCCGCTTTACCCCTGAGAAAAGGGCCCCTAGTACCCATTATACAGGAGGTTGGGTGGAACTCAGTGCCGGTCTTGACGACGTGGAGTAGAGAAAATTCTTGACCCTACCGGGACTCGAACTCCGAATCCTCGGTAGTCCAGCCTGTAGCCAGTCGCTATACCGACTGAGCTATCCCGGCTCATATTGTTTATGTATATGACCATAAAATATAGAGTTGCCTTGCAGCTGATGGTGAAAAATGTAAAAATACGGGGGCACAAGACAGGATTTATCTCAATAAATTGCTCGATTTTGTTACATTTTCTGTTTAATTACATTGGTGATTATCAGATTTCTGAACAATTTAGTTTTTACTGTGTGAAGTTGCAAGCCTCATGCCCAACCCCCAACCTGGAGGACCAGGATAACCTTCGTCTGGCTACTTCCCGTTGACCTGTCCGCCATGGGTGACCCTACCAGTAGCTACGCTACCGCCGGCATAGCTCCCACGGTCTCAGGAGCATTCGAACACCATCACCACGATAAGGTGGAGACACCATCGATGGGGCTTCAAAATTTGTGGTCGGGATAGCTCAGTCGGCACAGCGATGGGCTGCACGACTGGAGCTCAAATTCCGGCAAGGGCAAGAGATTTTTATCTTCTCCGCAACGTCCAGACTGCCTCTGAGGTCCACCCAGTTTCCTATCCAATGGGTACAGGAGGCTGTTTTCCACGAGGGTAAAGAGGCCGGGGCGTGAAGTTAAGCACTCACCTCCATCTACTGCCGAGTTTAAGAATGGTGGAGCTATACCTTCACTCCCTCATATATATTTATGGCGTAGTGTTTAACTAATTAAGCACAGGGACAACATTACACTTTTATAAAATATATAATAGAAATATTGTGTACGTAGCCAAGAAAGAATAAAATGATAATACATTATAGGATTACGTTTTAACTTGTTTATTTTTATCAAATTGTCAATATGCATGTAAATTTGTAGGGAGAAATTTTAATTTTATGTATCAAAATAAAAGAAAATAATGTATATTTTATTGTCACGATGTTATTTGTGTGTGACTATAGACGGGGTATGGATTGGTTCCCTAGTAGGGATTTCTAACAGCGGAGATTGTTCAGCTTCCCGTTCTCACGTCGTTACTGTCTGGCGTATATCCCGCAACTGAACTCTTGTCAGCTTAACTATAGCGCCATCACTTCTCAGCCCCCTTGCAGAGCTCGACTCAACTGCTAACCTTCAACTGGACTCTCACTCACGAACCAACTACTTCATTATATATTCTCGGGGCGGATCGAACAGAAAACGCCGCCTCCAACATCATTCCTATTGTTGTTACGGGCAGTTGCCTAGCGACATCCCGGATATCGTTTCAGCGAGAACATGTTTACTGAGCCCTTGCTTAGAAAACGGGTTGCATAACCTCGCTGTTCTATTGTTACGGGCGTTACCGAGCAACGGCCGCTGTTTACAGATTTAGCAAGGAGTCTATATGCTACAGTATAACAGTGTCTGGTTCATTAACTGAAGGCTAAATGTCACTAACACTTCCACTGTTGGATTCAAAAGTAAATTTATCCAAGACCCGAGCGACCCCGTGAAAGCAAACTGCGACTTATTTCAAAATAAGAATACAGTCTTCTGGGTTGTAACGTCATGTAGTTAGGAGAAAGCCCAACGTTTCGGAGGAACATATTACTTCCATCTTCAGGATCGGACAGTAAGCCAAGCAAAAAAAGCCCAGTCGAAAGAGGCGGTAGCTTACTTCAAGGTTATCAGTAAAAATAGTATGAAACAGTTTAAACGTAAGTCAGTAAGCAAATTTTCTGGCCCAGGAAAATAATAATAAAAATAATATATAACCCCCATGGAGATGAGTCCTCGAGAAGCCGCTAGTCACGCAGCTACTGAGAATTGCCCAACATTTTAAAGAACCCCAGGGTTCATTACAATGTCCAAAAGAGCCTTCCATCGGTCCCTGACACAAACAAACTCCGTGGTTTTAGTCCGCAAGCGAACTATACCGAGCGACCGCCGCTTGTCGGCGAAGTTAGTGTGAACTTTATCGGATTGAGGGTATCGTGTGGTCAGCGCAACGGATCCTCATGGCCGTAAAGTTCGGTCTTCTAGACCGGAGCCGCTATTTGCTTGAAATAGCTCCTCAATTATCCTCACGAGGCTGAGTCCACCGGTCCCTATCCTGACCCAAATCAATCCAGTCCATACCACTCCATCCTATCTAAGACTTATTTTAATATTATGGCGTGCTGCCTAAAAGCCGGATGATAGAGCATATTTCAGCGTTCGCTGCTGGTCAACGGATATCATTTCCTAGACAGCGGAATGGAATGCAGCATTGGAATACTAACAGTGAGTTTCCTCGTTTACAACGAATTGCTCGAAGCGTTGTATGACAACAGGAGAACCAAATTGTTGAGAAAGGTGTTCCATAAGCGGTCCACAAAAAGACTATTTAAGAGGGTTGAATGAACCAGACAGCTGAGTTCTGGAAGTTGCCGAGAACAGTCCAGTTTGCATTTGACCATAGAAGAATAGTCAGTAGAGTTGACTTCGACTATAGCAGAAGCAGTAATTGTGAATAATTGCACTTGTACGTGTAGAGGAGATCGGCCAATAAACTTATTCGCCAAATCCGAGACCTGCGTAAGTTTATTGAATATACTCATCACGTTACATAGGCAACACGCGACAATATTATCCGCCCACCTACATCTTGGTCTTCCTAGTAGTCTCTTTCCTTCCGACTTTCCCACAAATATACTATATGCACTTCTCTTCGTCCCAATTCGTGCTACATGCCCTGCCCATCTCATCCTCCTTGAGTTGATCATTTTAATTATACTTGGAGAAGAGTACAAGTTATGAAGCTCCTCATTATGCAGTTTTCTCCAGTCTCCTGTCACTTCATCTCTCTTCGGACAGATAGTCATTTCAACACCCTGTTCTAAAAAAACACCAACAATAATAATGCAATCTAAAATTAAGTGGAAGTTATGAAAAAATTCCAAACTCAAGAAAGTGCTCAATTCTCATTTTCCTCGGCGCCGTACTAATGCTATGGGCATCGTGTTGCGGGACACCTGTGTAGTCTCCAGACTGACAGCGTCGCTAGATAACCAACTAAATCAGTTGCATTTTAAAGCTGACGCTACGGTTAACTGCTCATCTAATTCTGGCGGCCATTCTGTTGTCGTCACTGGTTACGTCATGTGCGCTATTTGACAGGCTGGGTACAAGACACACCTACAGGGATTGGCTCCCATCTGCCGAGGCGGGGCACAACCAGGAATAATTACCGAAAGGGCCGAACTTCAGTGTCTCACGTGACACATCCTGTCTAAACATTAATGGCTGCAGTGAGAAATTAAAACATTAAAGTTAACTCATTAAGTAACTAATATCAGGGAACTGTGCACTTCCTGAGAAGCCACTCGTCATTCAGTTTATCGAGAGTTTCCCAACATTTTATGGAACCCGAAAGTTCATTACCGTGTTCACAAGAGCCCTCCATTGGTCCCTATCCTGAGCCAGATCAATCCAGTCCATAGCACCCGGTCCTATCTCTCTATGAGCTACTTTAATTTATCCTCACACCTATGTCTAGGTCCTCCTAGTGGTTTCTTTCCTTCTGGCTTCCCCACCAAGATTCTATATGAATTCCGCTTCTCCCTATTTGTGCTACATGTCTTGCTCATCTCACCCTCCTTGACTTGGTCATTCTAATTATACTCGGAGAAGAATACAAGTTTTGAAGTTCCTCATTATGCAGTTTTCTCCAACATTTAATATCCCTTCGGGCCAAATATTCTCCTCAGCACCCTGTTCTCTAACACCCGCAAGTCTATGTAGTCCCTAAATGTCAGAGACAAAGTTTCACACCCATACAAAACCAAAGGCAAAATGATGGCTTTGCATATTCATATTTTTACGTTTTTAGACAGCAGATGAGTAGAGTAAATGTTCTGGAGTGAGGGATAGCAAGCATTTTAATTCGCTAGAAGGTTAGTGTAGCGACAACATTCGGAACTTGTGTACATTATGTTATTTTGTATACCCACCATCCTGAGTTTAATTTTCCTGGGGAGTAAAGCGCGGTCGGCGCGTAAGGCTGACAACCTTACCGCCATCTGTGAGCTGACTGTCTAGATAATGTGGGACCCTCAACGTCTTACAACCATATGGGCCTCCATGGCCTGTTACAGGGATAACTTACCGTCCTGCGTTTTTCCGACACGGTGTTTATTCTGCTAGAAACGTATAAATTGGGAAGTAGACCTTTACGAAAATGTGGGATAGCTCAGTCGGTACAGTGACGGGCTGGACGGCCGAGGTTCGATTCCAGGCAGAGCCAAAAAGTCTTCTTTTCTTCACAGCGTCCACATCGACCCTGGGAACCACCCAGCTTCCTATCCTATGGGTACCGGAAGCACTTTCCGTGGGGGCAAAGCAGCAGGGGCGTGTAGCTGACCACTCACCTGTATCTAGTGCCGAGGTCAGAACCGATGGAGTGGACCTCCACTCCCGTATATGTTTTCATTGCGTAGTGCTTAATTACGCAGTGGGACAGTTTTATCTTTTTTTGGGCATTAGCATCTCCTTCGCATATTCGAAAAGATATATTTTCTATTGACATTTTTTTTTGTTATTATTTTTGCCAATTTACAATCTGCTTAACCGTAAAGGAAATAACACGTAAATGTGATATATCTTCTCATGTCTTGAAGGCGGTAACTGCCCAGCGGCAGTTCTCATCCATTTAATTTCTTAAGTCTTCTGGCCACTTTTTCGTCAATCTTCTTGCATTAGCGTGTGGGCTCGATAGCTCATTGATTAGCTGGTTCTCATGGCCTGTAATTGGGCTATTTGCAATTTGAAGTACTGAAGCTGATTTCTCATTGGTCAGTATGTTTCCGTGAACTTTGTCCTCGAATGGGATCTCTTAAGGACTGCGTTTACAGAAAATCTCTCATTCTGAAAGGCGGACGCAGCTCTCGACAGACGATGGATCCTCACACCGACGGATGTCTCACTAAATCATACTTGGCCAATGTCGACGCATCGTATTGACTGTTCCCTTCCTTGCCAGTAGTCGTCTCGAGTGGTCTGTAGTCCGCAAGCGAACTATACCGAGCGAGTAACCACCGCTTGTAGGCGAAGTTAGTAACAAATTTTGCGGGTATAGGGTGTCACGTGGTCAGCGCAACGGATCCCTACGTCCGTTAATCTCAATTTTCTAGGCTGGAACCGCTGTTTCCTTGAAATAGCTCCTCAAGTGTTCTCACGAGGCTGAGTGCACCCCGTTCCAGACCCACTACTTCTTAGAAAATCTGGTAACGGGAATCGAACCCGGGACCTCTGGAACTGCAGCCAGGATCTTTGACCACTAGACCACAGAGGCGGTCCACTAGATTATATAGGCATAAATCAAATTCTGTTTGTTCTCCTGTTGCGGACAACATGGAAATGTGGCGGAAGAGACAGCACGAGATTCTCATTGACCTTTCGTACAGATGTTGTGGCACAAGGCACCTTAACCTTCAGCAGCGTTTTATTGTGTGAGAGCTAGGCTCTGTGTTAAGGCCGCGCTATAGCTCAAGCGGTTAGTCGCTGGCTTCCCGATCCCGGGTCTGGTCAAGTAGGATTTGTGGTGGACAAAGTGGCGCTGGGGCAGGTTTTCTCCGAGTACTTCGGTTTCCCCTGCCAATCTTCATTCCACCAATTGCTCCACAATCACTCTCACCTATCATCTGGGGCTGGTACAACAGGCCAGAAGTGGCCGCAGTACAAGGGACTTAGTCCCACCCCATTAGCAATAAAAAAGATATGTTCAGTGTTTGGGTGTCAACATTCTGTATAATAACACGACTGTTATAGGCCTATTACATTCACGACTGATTCTTAACAACGAACTGCGTTTTTAACCGTGTCTATACTGAATATGCTTATCTTATTTAAAATGTATTAACTAACATGATGGAGCTGAGCGCTTCTAGAGAAGTCGCCATTTTTTGCAGCTATTCAAGAACTTCCCAGCATTTTATGGAAGCCGATAGTTCATTACTGTGTTCCCAAGAGCCCTTCTCTGGTCCCTATTCTGCGCCAGATCAATCCACTCCACACCACTCCATCCCATATCTCTAAGATTCATTTTAATATTATCCACCCACCCATGTCTTAGTCTTCCTAGTGGTCTCTTTCCTTCTGGCTTTCCCACTAGTATTCTACATGCATTCCTCTTCGCTTCATTCGTGCTATATGCACTGTCCATCTCATCTTCCTTGACCTGCTGAAGAGTGTAAGCTATGAAGTTTCTCATTATGCAGTTTTCCCCAATCTCCCGTCATTTCTATTAAAACGTACTGTAAAAAAAGTAAAGCTATTCCTGTAACAGGCCGTGAAAGCCCGTAGGTCCCACAATTTCTAGACAATCGGCTCACAGATGACGGTTAGGTTGTCAGCCTTACACGTCAGCAGGCCGTCCTTTACCCCTCCAGGATGATTCCTGGTACTCATTTCTGTTGGAGGTTGAGTTGACCCCAGGACCATAGTGCGGTTGGAAAGATTAAGTCAATTGAAAAATCCAATGACTTCATCAGGATTCGAACCCACGACCTTCTTGCGTGTAGAATAGCGCCTCAACCACCTACGCTACTGCGTGCCCCCTCTAAAACGTATTGTGTTCTTAAAACTTATAACGCCATGTTTCAAAATTAATGAAAAATAATGTCATCAGAATTGAAAAAATTCCGATATTTCATACCAAACAGGTTCGGTTTCAGCGTGATTTATGTCATTCCTCGTGTCGGAAATATTCAGGAACTACACAGTTACACAACACAAGTGGACTGATGCATGCAATCCTACACCGAATTCTAACGTGTCAGAATGCAATTTGGAAAACACTGCCTTCATGCATTCTACAGAGTCACAAGTCAAACCCTTTTCTAGAAATTCCGCATGTTGGAGAACCTCTCAAAACTGAAGACTGCTGCTACGTTAACAGTACAACAACGGGGTCCCCTTCACACACACACACACAAAAAATAAAATTAAGCACCTAATCTGTACACTCATAAATACAAAACTACATGCGAGTGACACACGAGTAAACACATGACAATTAGTAATAGCATGTACGAGGAACCCCTCAGGGCGCATCGGTCCACGAGCTCAACGACACCTATTTTTGGTTTCAGCTTAATTTAAAGACTATTTTTAGAAATAACTTATGAACTGAACATATAATTCGACGATTTATTTTACTGAAAGACTTATTAACATTTATAATGACTTTTGAACCAATTTTAAGTCTCAATATATCAATAAATTTACTAAGAGTAAAAAAAATTTCATAGAATAATAGGCTCTAATTACATTAATTTTAGACAACACCCGCGCATCGCTAGGGGTTTACGTATATTATTTTACATTATTCAAAGGTGTATTTGCTTTATTAATAATAATAATAATAATAATAACAGACTGTATAATATGAACCCGTATTAATGCAACGAAATTCAAGTTCTTACCTTTTCTCGTAAGTCGCCTGATGATGAACTAGAAGATGTCGAAACATGTAGCATTCACCTTTGAACAATAAACAGATAATAGAAATACGAAAGTATCTATTTTGTCTTCATCTTGAAGACAGTTTTTGTGTTGTGCTGATAGCGCAATTTACAAGATTCTCTGAGAACTGGCTAATCGCTGCGAGACGGAAGTGGGGTGCTGTCACGGTGAGATCCCTGGAAGGGCGCGGAACAGAGACAGGAGGGGCTCCCAGGTCTGGTCACGGAACGGAGGCACAGCGTCAAGGGGTGGAAGAAGACGTTGGACGGAGTGACGGCAGAAAGTTTCGGGGAACTTATCGCCTCAATCTTCAGGTCGAAGAATAAACTAAGCAACAAGCAAAATCAAATGGCTGCTATAGTACATTACAATAATCAGTAAGTTCGTGGACTGGCGGCAAAACGTCTTTGCAGTGCACTACAGCGGGTAGGTTGACGCACGATATGATGCCCTGTCAATTCATCTCTCGTCACAGCAAGAGGCAGTTCTGTGTAATCAGAACTATGACCTCTATTGTGAACTGCAGTTAAATGCGAGTGCATTAAGAAAATTAAATTTTAAAACATATATAAACTGATGAATATATCTAATTATGTAAGATAAAATTGTGAGCCGGGATAGCTCAGTCTGTACGACTCAGTCAGAAGGGCTACGGACTGGAAAGCCGGGGTTCGATTCGCAGCAGAAGCAAGAGATTCTTCACTAGTCCTCAATATCCAGACCGGCTCTGACGCCCATCAAGTCTCCTATCCAAAGCTTTTTTTTCCCCTTGGCACTACAGCCCCAGTGGGCCTAGGCCTACCTCCATGAACTTCTGCGTTCACTTCGGTTTTTCTACATCTTACACATTTGGTAGGACTCCTTGGGCGGGTGATCAGCTCGTCGCAAGGCCTTTACCTGTACACAAACACAGAAAAGCGCACACACACAACCTAAACATCCATGCCCTGAGTGGGATTCGAACCCACGATCCCGGTTTCCAAGCGAGCGAAGACAGTACATGCCTTAGGCCCTATCCAACGAGTACCGGGGAATAAGCGGCTGGGGCCTACAGCTGAGCACTCACCTCCATCTAGTCATGAGATCAAGAATGTTGGAGCTATGCATCCAATCCGCCATATGTCCCCATGGCGTGACGCATAATTATTTAAGTACAGGGACATCATTAACTTTACCTTTTTTTATTGCTAGTGGGGTGGGACTAAGTCCCTTGTACGGCGGCCACTTCTGGCCTATTGTACCAGCCCCAGATGATAGGTGAGGGTGACTGTGGAGCAATTGGTGGAATGAAGATTGGCAGGGGAAACCGAAGTACTCGGAGAAAACCTGACCCAGTGCCACTTTGTCCACCACAAATCCCACTTGACTCGAACCCGGGATCGAATCCGGGTCGCCGCGGTGGGAAGCCAGCGACTAACCGCTTGAACTATGGCGCGGCCAACTTTACCTTTATTACAGTTATACTTTTTACTTCTACAGTGGAGAGCTGTATTTGTCCAATCCATCAAGCCTTCCAGCTTCTGTCACATGTTACATGTGTATTACAACAGAAAACACTTTCCGTAAACGACAACAGATATTTCATAACTCTGGACAATGTCATTAAAAAAAAGTTACCGTATTTACGCATGTATAGGCCGCACATTTTTTGCCAAAAATTCAAGAGGAAAACTGGGGTGCGGCTTATATTCGAAATATTCGAAATCACACTTCATTTAAAAAAAAATGATATTCATAATTAGCAATAAAGGATGTTCTACTCCTGAAATAATATTCCAAGAAAATTATTTTTTCAATAATTTCTGTCTGAAAATTGTGCTGCGGCCTATACATGCGTAAATACGGTATTCATGTAGTAGATGAGAGTACTGCATTTCAGTCGCAGGAAAAGTTTCGGTGAGCTGTGTTGGACCGATATGAACCACGACAGAACTCACCCTATCATATTTTGTGTTCTTTGTGCTACAAAACACGGCCATCAGATGGCTCTTTGCGAATACGCAGAATTCAAAAGTAGCTGACAGTAGCCGAGGTGGGACACTTGCTGGGCTTGCTGTAGTACTGTGCTTGCTGCCGAAGGTATCTTACCGTTGAAGACAGACAAATCGGGTAGGTCTTTGTGTCAAATGACCCAAACTAAGCCATAATAACATAAAGTTGATTTCTAGAAATTTTCTGTGTTACTTCTACAGAACGTTAGAGTAGGCTATTGTGTGTTTACGCTATAAACAACGATTTTAAATAGTAATAGTTGTAATTTAGTGATGTATTGTGTGTGTGAACTATGTATTATATGTTCCATCGACTCAATTCAATTTTTACAGGAATTGTGTCGACCGACAAATGGTTTGAATATTTTTATCCTGTGCGTCTTGTTGTGTACAAAGTGATCTATATTAGAGTCAATTTTACCGACCACACAACATATTCTTATTATTATTATTACACTACATGTTTCGACCTCAAGAGGTCATCCTCAGGTGTACGAACACAGCTGTATAATTACACGCAATGACATTCGTCTTCTCACTTATTCGATCCTGTATATTTTTCAGGCCCACGTTCAATAATATATCAAGCTCCTCTCACAAAACACAAGTTAAAATATTATTCTAAATGTCAAAAGTTAAAATTTAAAATTTGTGAATCGAATTTCAATTCAGATCACTAGTTATGCTTTCACTTTCACTTGTTATTAAGTCACTTCCTACTTATGCTCATCACTGCGTCAAGTTCACTTTAACTAGTTTAACTTATTATTAGTTAAAAGTTCATGAATTAAAGTTCAAATTTATTATATTTATTGCACTTGTCACTTTTTGGAGGTCTCGCTGTTCTTCCGCGTCCTCTAATGTTGCTGGATCTGTTACGATCTTTGTCGTGATGTAATAATAATAAACATATGTTGTGTGGTCGGTAAAATTGACTCTAATATTGATTAAATACACAACAGGATGCAAGAAACAATTAAACAAAGTGATCTAGATTATTGTCGGGGACCCACGACATATAATTTTCAAACCGGAACATTACTAGAACTGCTTACGGAACCTGTTTAGCATTCTGCAGTACTGATTGTATGAGTAATAATACTTTTTGAGTTATATTTTAACGTTACATAAGAAGTTCTAATTTTTCCTTTGAAAATTATTTGCCACGAAAACCCCGACAATAATTTAGAAACACCCTGCAGATTCAGAATGTTTTATGCCGCCACACGTTGATTCTGTTAATAAACGTCTGAAGGTAACATCAATAGATCAATCACTTTATTATATTGAACACTATATGTTTCGGTCGTGGTTAACTATCATCAGGTTTGTACATATGTTTACAAAAGCTTTATGTGTACACATTTTGTAATTTTATAATTCCAATACTCCTTTACAATATTCCTTGAGAAACATTCAACTATTCAAGGAAAATGGAAATATTTTGATTGTATATTCAACAATATAGCGCAATATATTTACACATCTGAGGCAGATCAACCACGACCGAAACATGTAAAGCTCAATATAATAAACTGATTAATTTTTGATATATTTAATTGAATCTCTTATTTTATATATAACAAAATTAACTTGTGTGACGACATAAAACACCTGCTAAAACTATTTGCATGCGTGCGTTTATTTATCCGTCCATTCAGTCTCATGACAGCAATTTATGCATGCAGCATATAAGAATCATAAACTTGAAGCTATGGCAAAGGGAAGTGTAAAGTGTAGACGTATTTTTATGGAGCCAATTCCTATAAGGTATATAGGTGCCCCATTGAACAAAGAGACTAAGGCCCTTGTACTGCGGCCACTTCTGGCCTACTGTATCAGCCCCAGATGATAGGTGAGGGTGATTGTGGAGCAATTGGTAGAATGAAGATTGGCAGGGGAAACCGAAGTACTCGGAGAAAAACTGCCCCAGCGCCAATTTGTCCACCACAAATCCCACTTGCCCAGACCCGGGATCGAACTCGGGCCGCCGCAGTGGGAAGTGAGCGACTAACCGCTTGAGCTAAGGCGCGACCTTGAACAAAGAAACAACTAGATCTTATCATCATATCACTTCCCGTTGGAGATGGCTCTCCAATGTTTACATTAAAGAATTCAGAACTACATAAAAATAAGCGGCTCCAAGCAGTTAGGATATTTGGAAAATTTATGACTCTAACGCTGAAGTAATTTATGATAGTTATAGGGCAAAAAATGTTAACGTACGTAGCTACGTGTTGCATACGGGACATCGCACGAACAATGTTATCAGTAGTTAAACTAAATTTCGTATATTCTTCGATTTACGTGAAACTTTGGGCAGTAGGTCATTTCTAACATTTATTTCCAAACTTTATTTTCGTTTATGGGCCAATTACAACTTTATTAAAGATGTACTGGCCACCTCCAAAAAAAACCGAAGCTTTCATGGTGACGTGTATGTTCGGAAATGAACGTCACAGGATACGTTTTCATCATTTTCGACTCCTTTAAACAGGGACCCACACTACGAAAAGTTTGTCCGCAATTTCGTTTCCTCCTGTATATAACTGGAGCTGCAATAGTGCAGTCGGTATAGCGACTGCCTACAGCTGGATGGACGAGGGGTCGGAGTTCGAGTCCCAGTACGGGAAGGATTTTGCTTTTCTCCACGTCGTCCAGACCGGCTCTGGGGACCACCCAACATCCTATCCAATGGATACGGGGCTCTTTCCCTGGGGGGTAAAGCGGTTGGGGGCGTGAAGCTGACCACTCATCTTCAGCTAGTGCCGAGGTTAAGAAACGTGGATCTCTACATACCACTCCCCACTCCCCTTCATGTCTTCCTGTCGTAGTGCGCAATTAGTTAAGCACAGGGACAGCTTTACCTTTTTAAGTACACATTTACTGTACACCCTTGCTCATTACAGTAAATATGGGGGGGATAGGACATCCGGATTAGTGAAGCAAAAAGTAGTCATGAAAGAAAAAGAACTAGAACTCAAATAAATTGAAAATCTGTGCCGCGCCATAGCTCAAGCGGTTAGTCTTTGGATTCCCATCGCGGCGGCCCGGGTTCGATCCCGGGTCTGCTCAAGTGGGATTTTTGGTGGACAAACTGGCGCTGGGGCGGGTTTTCTCCCAGTACTTCGGTTTCCCCTGCCAATCTTCATTCCACCAATTGCTCCACAATCACCCTCACCTATCATCTGGGGCTGGTACAATAGGCCAGAAGTGGCCGCAGTACAAGGGACTTAGTCCCACCCCACTAGCAATAAAGAAAAAGAATGGAAAATTTAATGACATAAATAGTGCTGACAAAAATAGAGCCTTTATGTAAAAACTATAAAAAGACAATACATTTATGCATCGATAGAAGACTGAGAAGATGTATTTGTTTTTGAACGTAATAACGCAGGTTTGAAGAAACTGTCTCAAGTTTTGTCTCAAGAGACAAGTGACTCATCTGCCTTCCTGAATGCCATGTGTCTTATTAAGTATTTACTCAACTGTGAACAGCATATTTCATATTTCGATCCGGATTAACTATAAGCGGATTAGTGAGGGTTTACTGTACATACACCGGAGTAAATATTTCAGAAATATTAACTCGCTCGCTTAAATTATCACTGAACAGAGAAACGTATTAATATGTACTTCATTAAAAATGTTAATGTTACGTAACATTGCTTTAATAGGAATACCCGACTGGAATACTGGAGTATTGTACAATATTCTGATAGAGGTTGGGATACCCATAAAACTAGTTAAGCTGATTAAAATGCGTTTTAACGAAACGTATAGTAAAGTCCGTGTAGGTAAACATTTGTCTGATAAATTTCCTATCCAGAATGGTCTAAAACAAGGATATGCTTTATCACCACTCCTCACTCCTTTTCAACTTTCCTTTAGAATATGCAATTAGGAAGGTCCACGGAAAGCAGGTGGGACCGAAATTAAATGGGACATATCAGCTATTTGTCTATGCCGATGACGTGAATCTACTGGGTGATAATGTAGATACAATAAAGAAAAGCACACAAACTTTAATTGACGCAAGTAAAGATGTTGGTCTAGAAGTAAACATAGAGAAAACTAAGTACATGTTACTGTCTCGTTACTAAAATGCAGGGCAAAATCATGACATGAAGATAGGAAACAGATGTTTTGAAAATGTGGCACAGTTCAGATATTTGGGAGCAACGATAACAGATCGAAACCTGATTCAGGAGAAATTAAGAGGCGATTGAAGTCGGGTAATGCTTGCTACCATTCAGTCCTGAACCTTTTGTCTTCTCGTCTGTTGTCCAAAAACATAAAAATTAGAATATACAACACTATAATTTTGCCTGTGGTTCTGTATGGGTGTGAAACTTGGTCTCTGACATTAAGGGAGGAACATATACTGAGGGTGTTTGATAACAGGGTGTTGAGGAGAATATTTGGACCAAAGAGAGATGAAGTGACAGTAGGTTGGAGAAAACTGCATAATGAGGAGCTTCATAACTTGTACTCTTCTCCAAGTATAATTAGAATGATCAAGTCAAGGAGGATGAGGTGGGCAGGGCATGTAGCACGAATGGGGGAGACAAGGAATGCGTATAGGATATTGGTGGGAAGGCCAGAAGGAAAGAGACCACAGGGAAGACCAAGGCGTAGGTGGGTGGACAATATTATTATGGATCATAGATAGGATGGGATGGGATGGATTCATCTGGCTCAGGATAGGGACCAGTGGAGGGCTCTTGTGAACACGGTAATGAACCTTCGAGTTCCATAAAATTCTGGGAATTCTTGAGTAGCTGCAGTATTGGCAGCTCCTCCAGAAGGGCTCAGCCCTATGAGTAAGTAAGTAACTACACATAACATCTATATGATCATACTTAGATGGGCGCCATAATGTACAACTATCGCTATTTCATACCTGAAATGTCTACTATATTTAAATACATTTTATTAACACGGATCAATTTCAGTCGAAAAGAACTTAATAATGACGTGAACTTTACAATTGAACTCGCTCTAGTGCCAAGGTAGAGAATGTTGGAGCTATACTTCCACTCCTCCATAAGTATTCATGGCGTTGTGCTTAACTAATTAAGTACTGGGGAACTTGACCTTTACTTTTACTTTGCCTTATCGGAAGCAATAGCAGAGTTTCGGATAATTACATTCAGTGACAATGTATAATGAATTTTAAAAATTTTATAGGTCATTATGGTAAAGGTAATGTTGTATGAAGAGATATTTGAAGGCCAACCACCGTCAAGCGAACAAGCTACGCAGTCAGGGCCGCCATCTGCAACAGGGATGCTGGAGGAAAATGAGGGACAATCTTCCATTAAGACTGCCACCAGCGCCACAGATGCCACAAGCACTACCACCAGCGCCGCAGATGCCACAAGCACTACCACCATGACCAAGATTGTCACGGCTTCTCCCATTAACACCACCGCTGCCCCGACTACTGCCATTAAGACTGCCACCAGCGCCACAGATGCCACAAGCACTACCACCAGCGCCGCAGATGCCACAAGCACTACCACCATGACCAAGATTGTCACGGCTTCTCCCATTAACACCACCGCTGCCGCGGCTTCTGCCATTAAGACTGCCACCAGCGCCACAGATGCCACCACCACTGCCACAAGGACCAAGATTGTCACGGCTTCTCCTATTAACACCACCGCTGCCGCGGCTTCTGCCATTAAGACTGCCACCAGCGCCACAGATGCCACCACCACTGCCACAAGGACCAAGATTGTCACGGCTTCTCCTATTAACACCACCGCTGCCGCGGCTTCTGCCATTAAGACTGCCACCAGCGCCACAGATGCCACCACCACTGCCACAAGGACCAAGATTGTCACGGCTTCTCCTATTAACACCACCGCTGCCGCGGCTTCTGCCATTAAGACTGCCACCAGCGCCACAGATGCCACCACCACTGCCACAAGGACCAAGATTGTCACGGCTTCTCCTATTAACACCACCGCTGCCGCGGCTTCTGCCATTAAGACTGCCACCAGCGCCACAGATGCCACAAGCACTGCCACCAGGACCAAGATTGTCACGGCTTCTCCTATTAACACCACCGCTGCCGCGGCTTTTGCCCTTAAGACTGCCACCAGCGCCACAGATGCCACAAGCACTGCCACAAGGACCAAGATTGTCACGGCTTCTCCCATTAACACCACCGCTGCCTCGGCTTCTGCCATTATGACTTCCACGAGTGCCACAGATGCCACAAGCACTGCCACCAGGACCAAGATTGTCACGGCTGCTCCCAGTAACACCACCGCTGCCACGGCTTCTGCCATTAAGACTGCCACCAGCGCCACAGATGCCACAAGCACTGCCACCAGGACCAAGATTGTCGCGGCTTCTCCCATTAACACCACCGCTGCCACGGCTTCTGCCATTAAGAGGGCCACCAGCGCCGTAGATGCCACAAGGACTGCCACCAGGACCAAGATTGTCAGGGCTTCTCCCATTAACACCACAGCTGCCACGGCTTCTGCCATTAAGACTGCCACCAGTGCCACAGATGCCACAAGCACTGCCACCAGTGCCACAGATGCCACAAGCACTGCCACCAGGACCAAGATTGTCACGGCTTCTGCCATTAACACCAGCGCAGGCACTTTTCCTTCCATTAGCAGTACCACGAGCGAAACTCCAGCCGTTAGCACTGCCGCTACTAGCGCAAATTGTGTTTCCTCTTTAAACATATTTGCCAACGCGTCAACTGTTTCCATTTCCAATTTGTCTATCACTCTCACGGCCAATGCCGCAACTGCTACTGCCACCACCAGTACGAGTACCGCACCGACATTCACCCTCACTGCCACGGCCACGGCTTCCACTCCCGTTACCTCGTTCGAGGCCGGTATTGTCTACAACGCTGGTAGTTGTCCATCCACATTCGTTGTGACTCCCACAGCCTCTGATCCTGCCAATGCCATGACAAAGGAAGGAAGTGAACTCACGGAGAGCTGTGTGTCAAGTTAATCACCAAAATATTCTTGGAATTGGGCTCGGCTTGTATGGGCCTTACCCCCCTCTTTGGTTTGACCGGAAGTACAACCAGTACACTACCTGCAGACTGTGTTTTATTAAACAGACATAAATGTTAGACACTGAAATGAACATTTACATGTTTGTGACTATGATTTTAATAAGCTTCATATAATGCGAGTTCCATTTTTGTGTAATGCATCTCTTAAGCGAAAATTTTATGCTAATTACTTTAATAATAATGATAATTTATACTATTGATGCTATAATGACGACACTGGTTGATTATTAACAATGACAATTCATACTATTGATGCTATAATGACACTGGTTGATTATTATTAACAAAGCCGACATGCATAAATATGGTTAATGCTTGAGGGAAAAATTATATTCCTAGAAGTATCTGTATTTCCACGAAGTATTTTGTCATAAAAATTTTCACATGCATAGAATGTCACATAAAAGTGTTCGTACCGAGTTATAATATGTTAATAAAGCATGTGTGAAAATATAACTGTCATTCGAAACTTCCTTACTGTTGGTTTGCTCAACATAGCTCAAGAGTTTGAAGTACGCTCGGCAGCAAAAGTTATTCTATCATTCATCACACCATCCCAAACTTAAACTAAACTAAAATTTGTAAGTTTTGAGGTTTTCACGGAGATGACTATGAAGACTTTCTTCATAGTCATCGCCGTGAAAACCTCAAAACTTACCTAGTGTTCCTCTATGGAGGGCTACTCATCGATACATTCGTAGACTCGAGACGCTGCGTACCAAGAAGTCCAAGCTACTGTGCACCCTTCACTTTCTCCTTAGATGCAGAGACCATGGCATCATACCTCGTTTCCTTCAGTTCCAACACCACATAACCTCTGACGCTGCCAAAAGGATCTACATTAATACTACCCTGGAGATGGAGGCGACATGTTCCTCCGAAACGTCGGTTAAAACAAAGAATACACGGCGTCAGATCCCAGAAGACGACTTTCTTCATAAACTAAAATTGTCAGTATTTATATCCCCAAAACTAGACGCAATGGTTATGTTAGAATGGGTTGCATTCTTAAGAAGTTTTAATTTTGTCTAGCTCCATGGAGCCGTTTTCTTTTTTGAGAAGCCGACAGTTGCCAAGCAACTCAAGAAGATCCCAGGGTTTTATGAAACCCGAATCCCCATTATGGTGTCCAAAAACCCCGCTATTTTCCTCTATTCCTAGCCAAATGAATCAAGTCCATACTACCCCATCTTATAACACCAAGATCCACTTTAATATCATCCTCCATTCTGCGTGTACGTTTTCTAGTAGTCTTTCTCAATCTTGCTTTCTCATAGAAGCCCTGTACGCATCCCTTTTCTCTCCTTTGCGTGCTACATTCCCTATACAACTCAACCTCCCTCATTTGTTCGTCATAAAATGAAATTTATAAAATTCTTCATTATTTAATTTTCGAGAGCCTCGTATTATTTAATCACTCTTCTTGGCTCCAGATATGCTCCTCAGCACCCTGTTCTCAAACATTCTCAGTCTATGTTGCTCCCTTAATGTCAGCGACCAAGTTCCACACCCATACAGAACCACAGGCAATATTATGGTTTTGTATATCTTAATTTTCGCATTTATAAACTGCATATTGTGAGACCTGGCTGGTCCCAAATGAGGTAAGAAGGAAAATTTAAACCTTTATTAATAGATGCATATTAAGAATCTGGTGGCCTAGAACAATTTCCAGTAGACAGCTGTGAAAGTTGTGGCCAAACAGTTGTAAACATGGAGATAAGTAAAGTAAAGCTATCCCTGTAACAGGCCGTGGAGGCCCATAGGGTTGTGAGATGTCGAGGTTCCCACATCTTCTGGGAAATCGGCTCATAGATGGCGGCAAGATTGTCAGCACTAAGCGCCGGCCGCCCTTTACCCCAAGAATACTCATTTCTGTTAGAGCCTTAATCGACCCCAGGGCCGTAGTGCTGCTGGAAGGATTAAGTAAACTGAAAAATAAAATAAAAAATAATAGTGTTAGGGAACCGAAAATTTAGATTGGCCACACGATGAGGAAGGTGATGAACATCCTCAAGGAAAGAGAAGAAGGGGGAGACCAAGAAACAAATAGAGGAGATCCAATTTGAGAGGAGCCGAAAGCAGTTGCAGTGAGCTGAGGTATTTAGCGGGCGATCGGGAGAAATAGAATGAAGTTTGTAGGCACCTTATGGTCCTGATGGAACTGTATCACTTATTATAAATAGTAGATGAGAAGACTACGGTAGCAAAGCACTGCCCTTGTACCACACAACTAACAGTAATACTATCGGACCATCACTTGTGATAACGAGGAGGTAAGATTATTGTGAATCGGAGACAAGAGTTCGAAAGACTGGCTCTTTCATCACATTTCTTCTGGCCAGAATTATTTTGTTTTGTAAACATAACCTGTACTTACTTATTCATGGAGCTGAGCCCTCCTGGAGGAGCCGCCAATTCTCCAGCTACTCAACAATTTCCCAGCATTTTATGGAACCCGAAGGTTCATCACCGTGTTCACAAGAGCCCCCCACTGATCCCTGTCCTGAGCAAGATCTATCAAATCCATACCATCCCATCCTATCTCCCTAAGATCCATTTTAATATTGTCCACCCACCTACGCCTTGGTCTTCCCTGTGGTCTCCTTCCTTCCGACTTTCCCACCAATATCCTATACACATTCGTGCTACATGACCTGCCCACCTCATCCTCCTTGACTTGATCATTCTAATTATACTTGGAGAAGAGTACAAGTTATGAAGCTCCTCATTATGCAGTTTTCTCCAACCTCCTGTCGCTTCATCCCTCTTCGGTCCAAATATTCTCCTCAACACCCTGTTCTCAAACACCCTCAGTCTGTGTTCCTCCCTTAATATCAGAGACCAAGTTTCACACCCATACAGAACCACAGGCATAATAATAGTTTTGTAATTCTAATTTTGTATTCGTTCTTAGAATGCGTCTTTAATTGTATACCAGACGGGACGGGGGCATTGCTTTCGGCGCTTCATTCCACAGCCCGACTTCGTGTGTTGTTGAGAATCAGAAGATATAACTGTGCCCTGTGCAGCCCGGAAGCGACAGAAGAGCAATTGTATTCCCCGTTCCTCTCAGAACTGTTTCGAAACCATAAATCCTGGCATATCGCTAGCCACAATACTTTTAGAAGAATCGAGTGGCGAGGGTTGCAGTCCGGGTCTTGTTGTTGCTGCTGCAGCGAAAGCAGTGTTACCTACTCCCGAAAGTAAAATAGCCCTTTTCTATTTTTAGTTACTTGGGGAGGGGTGGAGTTTGAGTCCACTTGGTACATCAGCCGCTAATTCGCCTATTGAACCAGCCTCGAATGATAGAAGATGATGAATGTGACGCAGTCGGTGGAATGACAATTGGCAGGGGAAACCGAAGCACTCGGAGAAAACTTGTCTCTATGCCACTTTGTCCACCACAGATCCCACATGACCTGACCTTAGTTCAAACTCGGGCCGCCGCGGTGTGAAGCCGGCGACTAACCGTCTGAGCTATGGTGTAGTGATTATTTAATTAAGCAGAGGTAGAACTTTTTTAAGAGCCGGAAAGGGACGGATTAATGCCTAGCGGCATCAAAATGAAAATATTTCTTTTCAAAAACTGTACTCTCAGCAGACTGTCGAAATACGTGACTCGTTGGCCTTTATCGCTGCTTATTACAGACAAATTCGTGCCACTTCAGTCATTTTTCTTCGTATTCCTTAAATTACTCATCCTACTGAGCAAAATAACATGCTTTAAGTAGTTTGTAGATGAAGACTTCTATCGTCAACATGATGTTTCGGAGGAATATGTCGCCTCCAATTTCAGGCTCGAAGAATAAGTCAAGCAATAAACAAACGTGAAGATGGATCTACTTCTCATTTACTGGTTTCTTGCTTGGTCTAGTCTTCGACCCTAAAGATGGAGGCGATATAGTACTCCGAAACGTCGGTAGACTTTCAACGGACTACAGGGCGTTATACCCCAGAAGACATAATTCTTCATAACCAGCGCTGTAAGAACCTCACATCCTACACCTATCTATCTATCTACCTATGGCTCTAGCCCTTGTGCACCTTGGCCGCTTTTTCAGTTTCTTTATATATACACAATCGTTAGGACCCCTTTGACGGGGATCAGCCAATCACAAGGCCGCCACATACACACAGGACAACATAAACACAGAATTAAGGCACACAGGGCTGGGAATGGGATTCGAATCCACGATCCCAGTATTCGAGCGTGCGAAGACGGTTCATGCCTTAGATTGCGCGGCTACGGTGATCGGCAAATCCTACATACAAAGATTTATTTCATCTAGACCAAGACGTAGGTGGGTGGACAATATTAAAATGGATCGTAGAGAGATGGGGTGGTATGGATTGGATTGATCTGGTTCAGGATAGGGACCAGTGGAGGGCTCTTGTGAACACGGTAATGAACGTTCGGGTTCCATAAAATGATGGGAACTTCTTGAGTAGCTGCAGATTTGGCTTCTCCTCAAAAAGGGCCCAGCTCCATAACTAAGTAAGATCTCTCTTTTACTTGAACCGCGTCCTTCGTGATGACGTGTTTGTAAGGAAACTGGTAATGCCCCTGTTGAGGTGCAGGCAAATTAAGGATGGTTGGCGTTGAAACGATAAGAGCTACAATGCAACCCCCTACCACAGTTGGTGTTTGTACTGCAGAATACAGAATACAGAATGCAGCCTAGCACTGGCACAGTGAGCATTTCAATCAGCAGGATCAGTTGTGCATTTGCTGGCAAGAGGAAGAGTCGTGGTGCTTAGTAAACTGCAACAGGGTACGTCTATCTGTAAAGTAACGTTAAGCTGACTTTCGACAAGAATTCGCCGTGTTATTGGCTTATCAGTCCGAATATAAAGGTAGATCTTTTTTCTCTCATTCTAATAGGGCTTCTTAGGGAAAAGGGGTGGCCTTACTTTGGGCCCTTAAGAAAAAACATGATACGATGAGTTCTAATTGTTAATTCTAATATATTTGTGAGAATATCTAAGACTTATATTTTAAAATACTAAATTTTGAATTTTCAGATCACAGTGGCCACGGGGTCTAAGGCATGAACTATGTTCGCTCGCTTAAATACTGGAATTATGGTTTCGAATCCCACTCGGGACATGGATGTCTATCCGCGTTTATTCTGGACTTGAGTTGTTTGCGACAGGGCTGATCCCCCGTCCAAAGAATCCTACCGACTGTCTATAAGATCCATAAGCGTCAGTGAGCTTATTTTGGACGTGCTGTTTCTCAATAGTACAGTTTCTGTTTCTGTCGGTATCCCAGAAGATATAAATATTCACAACAACCGCTGTGAAAACCTCAAATCCTACCGAAATTTCAGTCTGATGACAGAGATCTATACTAAGCAGTGTACAAAATTGTGAAACTGGGAAATATGCAGAAGGAATGCAACTGTAGAATATGTAGGAAGTGATGTTCTCAACAAAGATGGCCGTTGCGATATCCCCTT